CCCAACAGAAGAACACCCAAGCCACAGGATCAGACCACTGTCCTGGCTTCAGCTGCTGTATACTCACAACACAAGCCTGCGGAGGCAATCCTGGTTTTTACAGATCTTTTTCCTGGATTAATAAAACCCTGAAACATAAACTCAGATTAAAAAACCAAAACAAAACCAAAAAGTCCTACTCCCAGAAGGCGCGAGTGATTCATTGTGTTTGTGTCAGCTCCTGCTGCCTTCACACGGCAAAAGCCACAGCGTTCCCGCCAGTGTAGGACCGGCCCCTGTGTGCAAGGGGCTCTGAGGGGCACCACAGCCAGTGGGACTGCACGGGGAGTAGCCCCAGCAGAGTTTGCCTGGCTTTCCCCTCTTCTCCTCCCCAGTGGCCACAAGCTCTGAGTTTGCTCCCGTGCCACTGGTGTGTGCCCGGGGAGCAAAGAGCCTGCTTGGGGCAGGTCCTCCTTGGAGTTAATGGGATCCCTGTTCCCAGAGAAATACATTTTCTACATAGGTATTTTTGTTCCAAGACTAAACCTGGTGCACGTGATCTTCAGCTAGTCACAAAACCACCCTTCAAAACTTGGGCTGGCTGAAACAACACTTAAATGTTAGAAGCGCGCCACTGCCTTAACCACTAACCTGTGAGAAATGGAACAGAAGAATTTGCTGCTCTTGAGTTTCCTTTAGATTTTTCAAAGGCAGCCAGCCCCTTCTTGGTTTCATGTAAGAAACCTGCCAGCCCTATCCCGAAGACCTCATTTTTGAAAATATGAGAGGAGGAAGTGCAGTTATGGTCCTGAGGCAGCCAGCGTCCTCAGGCAAAAGGTCCACCAATTCTGCTTTCCACATTTCAGCGTTCATGAGCAGAAGATTCCTAGTAAAGAACAAAATTAATCTTCCTCGTGGCATATTGTCCAGAGCTCTCTGATTCAAAACTCCATCCAAATTGAGACCTTTTACTATCTACATCAACTTTTAAGATGGTGTTGTAGTGAACAGTAAGTCATCCTCAGACCTATACATTCATCTTTGGTATGAATTTCACCCAGAAACAGGTTGAATGCCAATTAACAAATCAGCAAGCAGTCCAAACGGATACGGACTAATGAAACACCAACAGGCATTTCATCACATTTCCTAGGATTTTGCTTTATCAGAAATGTTAATAACCAAATTGTATGAACGTTACATGACGTTGCTATTAGCAGACTGTGCACTCTGCACTGAGATGACGTGGGACCTAGATGATGCTAGGGCAAAATGAGTAAATTTAACTGATCTGTCAAGTATTTTACCTGTAATTTTCGAAAAAGTCAATGTGACTCCAGTACAGCTCTGTTACAGAGCCCAGAGGCATCCTGCTAAACAGCACATTGAAATCTCTCTCAGAAGATGCAGCTAGATGAGTTTTTCAGAGGGTAAAACCAGCTCAAGAAGTTCCTGCTCTGCTTGCCATCCTCCACCCCCTGCCCAAGCCCTGCCAGTATCACTGCCTGCACAGCACTGTTGTGAACCAGATCAATGACACAATCCAGGTAAAAACAACTTCTTGGATGGGTTTTGATGCTGGAGGAAACGTTTGCCCAAGTGGTAGCTGATCACCAGCTCCTGACCTTCCAGGCAGCAGTAAATGTCCCAGTCTCCCCTGATGGCCCGTTCAGGACTACTCTTTGGCAAATGCCAAGTCCCTTGGGACCTGCCAGATGAGAAGGACCATGGAGCAAAGTGCAGAGTTGTGGGAATCCCAGGCTGAGAGAGGACCCATTAATTTCAAAATAACAGGTATTCTAGAGACAGGCAAGGGAATAGTGATGTCTTTATTTATTGATAAACAAGCTGAAAAACCAAGGTGAAGATTATCTGAGTGGGTGGAGTGCATATCCAGTGCTCTTGGGAAGCAGGCAGAGAGAGAGGAACAGAGGCCCCAGCCAGCTTAAGAGGGGAAAATTATGGCTGAGTGAATAAAGCAAGAAAAAAGCATATTGATTTTCTCCTTTCCTTCCTGTAAGAGAAAAAAAACAAAACAAACCCAAACTCATTTATACGCCTCAATGAGGGCCCTCTGAAAGGCTGGGCATGGCCAACCTCACAGGCACAGGGCCAGCACGGTGCAATCAGGCTCTCTCCAGGGACGGTGCACAGGTTTGTGTGCAGCAAACGTGCACAGCCTCTAAACCTGCAACGGTGGCATCTTCTGCATGGGTTTTTTACTTCCCCTGTGAAGAAACTGTAGTTGATTTTCTTCCAAAGTAAACCCCCCTCTATACCTAGAGTATGTATAAACTAAATACCTATGTATTTGGCTTCTTTCTTTTCTTCCTGAAAACCGACTCCAATGTTTCTCTTATTTTTCATAGAAAACACAGCACTCACTATTGCCAGGTATGCCAATAATCCATTGTAACTGCTTCTGCCTGCCTGCAAAACACACCTGGCCACCCTCATGACACAGATCTAGCATGAGCAAGCGCCAGGCTGTTCTGCTGAAAGCATTCCCCAGTCTGCAAGCCTGTAAAGATTCATTACCGAGGTCACAAACATTCCAGAGAGAAGATTTTAATTCAAGGGTCCCTATTGCTACAGCAAAATGAAGAAGTAACTGAGAAAGCAATTCAGAACGATTGCATCCGATGTCATGTGAGGAGACCCTATCAAAATATGAGATGCTCACAGGGAGGCAAACTCAAACAGTGCTGCTTAACAGACGAGGAAGGGTGCATGATGAACCAGCTCAGCAGAAATCATCTGCGCTTGCACCTGATACTGGAAGCACCCTGCAGCAGCCGGTCCACTTCTCAGAGAGAGGAAAAAGATGACTGGACAGTAATCCGCCAAGGAAAGCTGTCTTGTTAATAGATCTGTCCTCTGCAATGAGACTCTGCTCACACAGATGTGTCAGATCCTTTATTCGGAGGGAGTAGCCTGAAAAAGATCATGGTGGCTATGCTTTCCGCGAACAGCCCAGGCTGGGGCGAAGAGGCAGAGGCAAGCATCGGTGAGGAGATGGCATGGTGTGCCTCCTCCATGCTGCCTACGCAGGTCTCCCCGCAGGCAGCTTCAACCTATACACAGCAAACGAAGCTATGAAAGCAGGAGGGTGCCCTAGTCGCCTCTGTCAAGCAAAGCTGTCAATAACAACTATTTTTTAGCACATTGTACTGTTGATGTTTCACAGTGATAAAGTTCCTACAGCCTGGGTTTTTTTTAATCTCATGCAAAAAGCATTTTTAAATCCAAACAGCTCATGCACCTGGAGGAAGAGAGTACTGGTCGGTAAGCGTGACCTTCTGCAAATTTTTCCTTCCTGGTTCATGAGTCAATGCTTTCCCCCGCACCCCCCCCACCCCTGCCCCTTCCCTTTCTTAAATTCTCCAGCACTGGAACTGAAGGAAAACCACAATTCAGCTATGGCCCTGGCATTGCCAAGCTGCCGCCTTGTGTTGGGTCAGCAGGACATGATGTCCTCTACACCCCACCTCTGCAGCCCGTCTCCTGGCCATGCACTGCAACGTTCTCACTTTGAGCAAGAAGATGTGAAAGAGGCAGAGGAAATCCTCTCACTGACACAGAAAGGACTGTGCAAACCAACTGCTCCAGCGGAGCGAGGCACCTTTGCAGAACAGCCGAAAGGAGAACTCCTGTGCAGTCTTGCTCTCTCTCACAGACAGCAGATCACAGCTCACATCACCTGCTCACCTACTGCAAAGCTTCCCTTTCAACATCTAACTGTGAAACAGAGAATGAAAACACAATTAAAGATGAAGGGCAAATTATGCACTGTAAAGTCAAATAACACTGACTCCTTCTTTCCATCCTTCACCTAGAAAATAAAGAAGCTGGAAGTAAACTGCAAACTGAATCAATGCCTCGTTTAACCTCACCACTGGGACACTCTATGTACTATTCTGAAGTTAACAGAACACTGACAATAAGTTATAGCTAACTATATATTGAAATCTACTCCCTTATACTAATAAATAAACAAAGGAGAAAGGGCACTTTGTGTGGCACCTACTCCATGAGTCAGTGAATACGTACGTGTGCGCAGGCAGAGGTATGGGCAGAAGCCTGCAGAATCACAAAAGAATGACAGAAATAATGTTTACAAGTTCAAATGCCCCCAGCTCTGGAAAAGAAGCAATGGAAAAAACCTGCATCAATTCGGAAAAAATTTATCTGAAGAGGCTAACATTTGGAAAGCACGTATCTCAGAACCCAAACCTACAGATAATCTGTTCGTGGATTCCAAAAGAAAATGATACCCATCCCAGTCTGGGCGGGGACACACACCAAAAATTTTTGCATATTTAAAACACTAAACCCAGGACATTCCCAGGACCAGGACCCCACGTTTGCTATTTCAATATAAAATTCCTCCATTTGCTACACTTTTTTTTTTTTTTTTGCCAAGAAATACAATTTTTAAAAAACCCAAACAACTTTGCTAGCATTGCTGTACCACAGCAGCAGTACAACTCTAATTCACTCTAGATCTCTCACACACCCCCAGTCCTCAGTGTGTGCACTGATCGTGCAAAGACG